AATATGGGTGATCATATTCAGATTTTGATTCTTTGATCAAATACTCTCTTTAAAAACAGTTTTAGAGTTGATCAGGGATTGGTAGCAGAGACAGCCAAGGATCTATCCAATACTTACCATATCTGCTCCGTCAGGCTTCCCTGAGTTTCCTGTTAAATGAAGGCTACAGAGACACCAATCAGACAGCCTCTGTGACGTCCTTAAACTGCAGAGTTTTAGGTCCAGAGATAGTCCTCTCCAAGGAATCAGCAACTCTGTAGGCATTTGGGGGAGTTGCAGGGTCAGGCACCAGTGACTTGCTACCCAAACCCAACCATCTATGGAACATCAACAGAATCCAGGCAAAGCATCATCTGCCCTGAATACAATGAGTTCTAGAGCCAGACATGCGGGTGCAGGCCTGTAATCCTAGAACTTAAGAGGCCGAAAAGGGAGTCGTGAGAGTGAAAAGCCAGCCTGGGATATATAGTACCAGGCTAGCCTGGAATACATCACAAAATCCTGCCTGACAACTGGCTCAGCAAGTAAGTGTGTTTGCTATGCAAGCATGAAAACCTGTGTACAAATACCCCAAACCCAAGAAAAACATTGTGGTTACACATGTGCCTGTAGCTTCTGCCTTGTCAGGGACAAAGACAGGACAGGAAGATGGCCGGGGCTTGCTAGGCTAGCTCTAGCTACAGTGAGAGACCCTGTCTCCAAGAAATAAGGTAGAGAGTGATACAGCAGAAATACTCTGTGTCTCCGTGTCTCCTTCTGACCTCCATGCATGCATACAGGCATAGGTACACACACACACACACACATCAAGCCAGACATGGTGATATACACTTGTGGTCCTTGTTCTTGGAAAGGGGGAGGTAGAAGAATCAGGGATTCAAGAACAACCTTGCCTACAAAGTAACTTTGAGGCTAGCACAAGCTATATAAGATCCTGTCAGACAACTGGAGGAATGGGGTGGGGGGAGGGAGAGAGAGAGAGAGAGAGAGAGAGAGAGAGAGAGAGAGAGAGAGAGAAAGGTGTGTGACTAAAGAGCTAAGAACACTTGCTATTCTTGCAGAAGATGTGACTTTAGTTCCCAGCATTCACAAGGCAGCTTACAACTGGTTGTAACTTCACCTCTAAAGGATTGGACCCCTTCTTCTCCCGAGGGCAGGAGGTACACAGATAAAAGCACTCGTAACCTAAAACTTTTTGAAAAGAAGGAAAAGAAACAGGCAAATAAGTCAGAAGAAATAGCATATAGCTCATCAGGTAGAGATGCTCACCACCAAGCCTGGGCCTGATTTCAGTCTCCAGGACCTGTGTGGTGGAAAGAGAGAAGTGACCTCTATAGTTAGTTGTCCACTGACCTCTACACACATACATACATAAAGTAATAAAGTAATTAAGAATTTTAGCACACAAAGACAGCACCCTACAAGCTGAAGATCCATTTCCCAGGTGCTCAGAGGTCAGCAGTTAAGATTTTCTGAAGCGAACATTCCATTTGAGGCTGAGGCTGGGACATCAGCGGCCATGCAAACCCAGGTAGCAACAGAAGGAAGTAGTCAGGAAAGCACAGAGCCCAACAGGGAATTCAATGCTAGCAACAGGAAGCCTACAACAGAAGGAAACACAGAGCGTGTGGGAGGGCAGACGGGGGACTGCTGGATCTCCAGGGCCAGTTTGTACTTCTTGTTCTGGCTCCCTTTTCCTGACCGAGAGCCAGTGTTCTCACCACATAAACACCAGATGACATTAATAAGATCGGTCTGTGAGACATTACCTGTAATGACGGATGCCAGGTTGCGTGCAAATGGGCTGGGAAATCTTGGAGAACTTCACAAAAAATAATAATAATAATGGCAAAGGAGACCGGAAGTGGCTTTAAAGGTTAGGGGAAGAGGCAGCTCTGAGGCACCCTTCCCTCTATTCTATTCACAATCTACCTGCTTCATGCCCTCAACCAGAATGGGGCCTTTGCACTGGAATTCTGTAGTGCAGCTCCCCAGGGTTGAACGCCGAGGTTCTCCTGCCATCTAGTGGAAAAGCTGGATATGGTAACTTTGGTTCAGAAAGGCAGGACGCTAAGTCTATTTTACATGTGATCAGAAAAGGAGAAGGTTGTGGGCTTGCTCATTGGTTCACCACCAGCCATTTAGTTCAAAGAGATGACACTTTACCTCCAGACATCAGTCAACTGGCACTGACCAAGGGCTAGCCTGGACTAAGTCTTTGCATTCTACTTTCTATGGGTGGAGACGGAGACTGAAGTCCTCTTCCATAAAGTAATTCTCAAATGCGGAACCTCTAGCCCTTGAGAGGTCTTCTTTGACAAAAAAAAAAAAAAGCTTATATGTGAGCAGAAGTGACAATGGACCACGGGGAGTGACCTCAGAATGTTGTGACCATCTCTCCACTTTATCTCTTGGACAAAGATCTCCAGAGACAGAGATGGTGCCATTCCCAGGTCCTCTCGGTGTCCCAACAGCCATGGGGATAGAAACCCTGACAAGGCTCCTCCCCTAATGACAAAATGGACCCAGAGCATTCTATGCCCTTCAGGGGAGGTGGGACCAGCCTTGGTTTCATGGAGTTGGAGGCCACCCTACGCTACGTGAGACTCTGTCTCAAGAGACATGGCTTTTATCCCAGCATTCAGGAGACAGAGACAGGCATATCCTGTCGAGTTTGAGGCCCCCATACAGAGCTAAACACTATCTTGAAAAGGGAGGGGTTGGTAGCAGGTCTTAAGTCTCCTTATCCAGAGGTATTCTGATACCTTCCAATGAAGAAACGTAAGACCTAAGAGGCAGGAAGGAGCTGGGTATGATGACCTTAATTCTCACACCTAGCAGACGGAGGCAGGCTAGCAACTTGGAGGCCACAAGCCAACTTGGGCTACATAGTGAACTCCAAGTCATCTGGGGCCACTGATTAAGACCCTATCTCAGAATTAGAGAGAGAGAGAGAACACAAGCCTTGCAGGGTTTCTCTCTCTCTCTCTCTCTCTCTCTCTCTCTCTCTCTCTCTCTCTCTCTCCACACACACACACACACACACACACACACACAAAACTCCATACAAACTCAGACACAGTCCAGAAAGCTCCAGGTAGCTATGTGCTTGGCCTGTCCTGGTGGGTGATGCACAGAGAGGCATGCGGGTCCAGAAGCTTCTCCCAGGCCTCGCCTGTCTACCTCCTCATCTGCATCCTTTGCAGCAGCCTTTATAACAAACACAGAAATGTTTCCCTGAGTCCTGGGAGCCACTTGAGCAAGTTCATCCTGAGCAGGGAAGGATGAGCACCCCAGTTTATAGCAGGTAAGTCAGGACCACAGAGCCAACATCCAGGGACCAGACTGACAAGCGAAGCGCTGGTGATCACTTTTGGATTCTGGGTTCTCTCAATCTGTGGGATGTGATATCCAGGTAGATGGTGTGATAATTTAGCTAAATTACAGGTCACTTCGCTGGCGTCCACTTCGATATTGCTGGTTTGATGGTGCAGAGCAAGCCCCAGATCTTTTGAATTCAGAGCTCCTTTGTGTTATGAGATTTTAAAAAAAAAATGAATGTACATTTAACGAGTCGTCATGACACAGGGTTCTTATACTATAGCCTAAGCTGGTCTTAAAATCATGGCAGTCCCCCTACCTCGACCTCCAGAGTGTTAGAATTACAGGTGTGAGCCACCATACCTGGCTAGGAACATTCTATATGTGGTGGTTTGAATAGGAACGGCCCCCATAGATTCATTTGAATGTTTGGCCATAGGGAGTGGCACTGTTAGGTGTGGCCTTGTTGCTATAAGCTTGGCCTTGGAGGAAGTGTCTCACCATGGGGGTTGGTTTTGAAGTCACCTATGCTCACGCTATACCCAGACCATCTCCTGCCACCTTCAGATAGAAATATAAAACTTTCAGCTCGTTCTCCAGCACCATGTCTGCCTGCACACTGCCATGTTTTCTGCCATGATGATAATGGACTGAACCTCTGAAACTGTAAGCCAGCCCCAATTGAATGTCTGCCTTTCTCAGAGTTGCCCTGGTAACAGCACTCTTCATTCTTCACAGCAATAAAACGTCAACTAAGACTATATATATTTGTTTATTTGCATGTGTGGGTGCATACATTATATATTTGTTTATTTACATACATGGCATAATCTGTGCACAGAAGTCAGAGGATAACCTGTGGAAATCAGCTCTCTCCTCTGACCAGGTAGGTACCAGTGATTGTACTCAATTCAGCGGGCATGGCGGCAAGTGCTATGACCCTCTGAGCCATTTGGCCAGCCCAGGAGTATATATTTATTGATCACATATTTCATGACAGATATAGGAAAACCATGTTTTTTTTTTCTTCACAACAAATCCCCATTGGGTTGTGGCTTCTTGAGAAAGACTGGGTGAATCTAGAAGGACTCATATTCTTTAGGAATTGGCTCTCGCTCCACTATGCAGGTCCAGAGATTGAATTCAGGTTCTTACCAGCTCTGCCATTCTGTCTCCAATCAGTAAAAACCCAGGCAAATCCAAGTGCAGCCTGCCGACCTTTAGGAGTTATCAATAGCTGAACTTCTTCATGAGTTTAGCTCACTTTCCCGTTGTTTTGTTTGTTTTTGTTGTTGTTAAGACAAAGTCTTACTCTGTTATTCAGACTGGCCTCAGAAATCATGGCAATCCTCTTGCCTCGGTCTCCCATATGCTGGGATTACAGGTAAACCACGCTGCCAATTCTCTGACCCAGACTCACTCTATAGACCAGGCTAGCCTCAAACTCACAGAAATCTACCTGTCTCTTAAAGAGCAACTTCCTAACTAAGCCAGTGTTTGCATGTTGTTCTATGGCTACGTATGAGGATCCTTGTTTCTCCATAATACAGAGGTTCCTAATCCTCTGCCCGAAAAATTTTGGAAAGTTATTCCCTGGCCTCTCCGTGGCATGTGCAAACTCATATCCACAAAGTCCTTAAATTATAATATTAATTTTTAAAGAAAATAAACAAATAAAATTTAAATTTAAAAGATATTTGCGACCACATCTTTATTGCATACCCAGGTAAATAACTTACTATATAACAAATGCATCCCACCCAGAGAATAGACACTTACGGAGGTCAGGGTGTTACTGAGGACGAGGAGCAAGGGGAGGGGAGGAGAAAGTGCCAGGAATTTATGGCAAGAACAAAACCCAAATCCTCCTAGCAGGGAAAAATGGGCCTTGTCTACTCCAGTAATATACCGAAGAGTCTGGCAAAGGACACAGAGGTCTGGGGTTGGCAGCAAGTTTGGAAGTGACTGAGTTGAAAATGTGGCCCTTGGAAATCGGGCGAAGCCATTGTGGGGTAGCCACGTGACCTTTAGCCACTCCTCCCCAGGCAGGAAAGCCTGGGAGAGCACGGCCAGATTAGCTTCCAGTGTGGACTAAGATGAACAAGAGGGAGACCCAGACCTTTCTGGGTTTATCCAAATCTTCAGTTCTGCTTGGTACTGAGCCAATCCTCATAGAACCCACTCTGGCTTAGATGAATCGGCTTCCGAGGATGACCAAACAGTGAGTAGTCAGATGAGCAGCTGTTTGCTCAGACTCCTGGGAGAGGTTAAGAGTCTCACCCTGAGTTGTCAAGACTCCCACCTCCCAGAAGTGTCCTAGGAATGGGGCAAATGAAAATCCTGGAGGGCTGCGAAGACAGTCTGTTGGGCTTAGCCGCCCCAGGCAAGACAGCGGTGTGCTGGGCAGGTTGCAAGCCTCTCTGTACAGTTTCCCTAGGATGCCCTGGGTTCAGTTCACATCTGCAGGACTCCTGGCTGGACCTGCTGCCTGACTCTGGTTGTCCCACTCTTCCCAACAGTTAGCTGTCCCCTCTGCGCCCTTCGTAGTCATTGTATGGACTGGCTGGGGCCTGGGCCCTTGGGATAGAGAAATCCTTTTGGCGATTCTGTAAGGGAAGCAATCATGTGGTTAAAGCCTTCTACCGCCATCTCAATGAACCTCCAACGCCTTTCTAAAGACCTCCCGCTCGCAGGTCCTCCCTGAGCCTGTGTGCCACCCCAACCCCAGAGTGTAGGAAAGAAGGCATGCTGTCCCTTCATGTTGGCCACTTAGGAGCCACTAAAGTGGTGGCAGTCTCTGTTAGCATTTTGTCTAAGCTCCGCCCCAAAGTTACCTGGCAACGGCCAGGTATGCCTGACACTCTATAAAAGGGGCTTCTTGTCCTCTCATCTCCCTCTTGTTCTCTTGCCTTCTTGCTCTCATTCTGTCCTCCCATCCCCTCCCCCCTCTCTCTCCACAGGCTCATGGCCGGCCTCTACTCCTCTTCCTCTTCCTCTCTCTCTCTCTCTCTCTCTCTCTCTCTCTCTCTCTCTCTCCCTTTCTCTGTCTCTACTACCCTCCCTAACTCCCCTCCCATACCCTGAATAAACTCTATTCTATACTATATCATCGTGTGTCTGGTCCCTCAAGGGAAGGGATGCCTCAGCATGGGCCCAAGGAGGCACCCCCTTCCCTCATACCTGACTACACCTCCACCAAACATATTACTTCCTTCCTTATCTTTTTATAAAATCCAACAATATCTATTCCCAAAGGACAACTGTCCTTTGGGGAGGTGGACGGTGATAGAGGAATGACAAAGGTCACTTACCTGCAGCTGAAAATGGGTGGAATAAGGTGCATAGTGTCCATCTCCCATCTCAAGACCTGAAAGAGAGTTAGAGAAACTGAGGCACTAGGGTCCATCTGTGCTTTCCTGCTGGATCAGTGTAGTGTCTGTGACAGTTGGTCCCACTGGGCCGGTCTCAGCAGTTTACATTTCTTGCAGAGAGAGACTGTGAATCTCAGCACCAAACTAGGCGTGGTCACATCCTGGGTTCACAGGATTTACTCTTTTGCTAAACTAGGAAGAGTTTATGAGCAAACATATTCTATGTATTTTGGGAAAATCAGAGGCTTTTTAAACTTGAGCTTGCTTTAAAGCAACCGGTTCGTTTCCTGACAAATTTACCTGCCCTTGTCCCCTTACTGAATTCATCTTCATTTAAAACAGTGTGGGGTTCAAAACAGTGGGGACCTAGGCATTTGTGGTACACACCTGTGATCTCAGTATCTGGGAGGTGGAGGCAGGAGGATCAGGATTCACGGTCATCCTCAAATACATAGTGAGTCCCTGCCCAACCTAAGCTCCATGAGACCTTGTCTCAAAAACAACAACAACAACAACAAAAAAAAAAAAAAAAAAAAAAAAAAAAAAAAAAAAAAAAACAGAATAAGCGTGGTCAAGGTAGGTCACTGGGTAAAGGCATATGCCATCCAGCCTGATGCCCTGAGTTCCATCTCAGGGCCCACATGGTAGAGACCACAGGCTCCTGAAACTGGTCCTCTGACCTCACATACGTGTGTGTTGTAACCCACACACAATAAGTAAATAAACAAGCAATATTAAAAAATTTGTGCTACAAATAAGTAAACAAGCAAAGATAGTATTAAGAACATGAGGTTTGCCCTGACTTGAAGAAATACAGCAAATACACAGATCACTCCTGAATGAGGCAAAACCTAACTAGAACATCTCAGTTCTACAAGCACACGTGGTGGAGGAGCCATTCCTAAGACAGACCGGAAACGCTGGACTCCGAAGCAGACAGGCAGAAGGCCACATCAGGCAAGCAGCTGCATCTTGATCAGTCACAGAGGCTGGCAGCCAGTGATGATCCAATTTGTCTAAGAGAGAGGCTTGTGTTGTAGAAGGCCTCGCTACTCCTGCAGACCCAACATAACAGGAGCCAGAGACAAACAGCAGTAGACAGTGACTACAAGTCCACCTGAGAAAGAAGCAACCAGGGGCCCAAAACCTGAAAGGCAAGCCAGGCACACACCCGAAATCTTAGCATTCTGAAGCCGAAGCATAAATTAGAGGCCAGTCTGGTCTTCACTACAGGTTCTAGGACAGCCAGGACTACTTAGCAAGACCTAGTCTCAAAAAAATAAAATAAAATAAAACCCAACAACAAAAAAAACATAGGAATGAAAAAGGGAGCATAGGGCCTAGGGACCTACAACAGAAGCACTGGGTAAGGCAGGAGCCTAAGGCCCTGGGAAGCACTGTAGGATGCTATTTCCTGCTCTCAGTCCTCAGGAAACTCTGCAATTCAAGCTTTAAGAGCACAGTGTGGGGCTAGGAGTGTTTTCAGTGGTAAAGAGCTTTGTCTGTCATGCATGAGTCCCTGGGCTCCACCCCCAGCACCACACACACACACACACACACACACACAGCGTGCGTGATCTCAACACTCTGGAGAAAGAGGGAAAGAGGCAGGGACATCAACACAAGTTCAAGGCCCACCTGGTCCATATAGTTAGACCCTTCCTCAAAGCAGAAACAGCAGAGCCAGGACATCTTTAACACTGAATCCAGGAAGCCAGCCTTGATGGTCCGTCTAGCCTGAGCCAGCAACCGCTTGCTTCCCTTCCGAGATCAGACTCAAAGATCCTTGTAACCAAGCAGTAGATTCCATAGGTCAGGGCAGTTTCTGGGCCTCAGCTAAGCCTCATTTTCTTCTGAAGATATCACTATGGCCCCTGGCTCCTCAGAACTGTGGCAGGAATCAAACCATCACTTGCTCTCATGTCACACGGGATCCTTCTCCTCCCACACACCCAGAGACATACAGTAAAAGGTGGCTGTTCTAAGTCAAAACCCTGGTGGATTTTACGAAGCCATCCACCACCTTGTGTTAAGAGGGCTTCCTCTCTTCCACCCTCTGTGACCACTAAAGGAAATCAGAGCTTGGGTCTACGCATTCAAGGACCACAAAGTCTCTTCTGTTCTGCAAGGAATGCCTTCAAAAAAAATTATATATGTGTATGTATGGGTAGATGGATGGACAGATAGTATGTGCACATATGTGCTCATGCCCATAGGGGCCAGAAGATGACATCACGTCCCCTGGAGCCAAAGTGACAAGTGATTGTAAGCCACTCAATATGAATGCTAGGATTAGAACCCGGGTCCTCTGGAAGTACAGTATATGTTCTTAACCACAGAGCCATTTCTCCAGCCCCAGGAATGTTCTTCATATACCTATACACAGAGCCCAGCCTCACCCACACACCACTAGGGGGTTTCCTCTCCTCATCCCCCCGTATTCTGGATCAATCTATATGCAATTATATAGAAAGTACTAGAAGAAGAGTTGAGAGGCAAGCGTCCAGGTCTACTGAACTACGACAGATTGATTAGGGCTACAATTAAGAGATTGTCTTGAGTCTCAGAAAAGACTTTGGGTTTTTTGAAATAGAACCGAGGCTGAAAGACCATGGGAACTTCTGAAATTGGACTCAGAGTATTTTATATTATAATGTGGTCATAAACCCACTAGGGCCAGGGAATGAAGTGCCCTGGTTTGACTAAGAATGGACCCTATAGGCCCAGATGTTTTAATATTGGATCTGTAGATGGTGGAACTATTTGGGAGGTTTGGGGAGAGCAGCCTTGTTGGGGGAAGCATGTCATTGGTGCAGGCTTTGAGTGGGTAAAGCCTTACCCCCTCCCACTTCCAGTTTGCTTCCTCTTGTGTTTGAAGATATGTGCTCCCAGCTTCCCGGCCATGATGGATTCAAAAGCCAAAACGATTTGCTTTGGGTCACAGTGTTTTGTCACAGGAACAGTAACTAGCACAGAGGCCGGTTTACTCAAGATCAGAATCTGTAAATATCCTGTGAGCTCCTTAGTATTTGGGCGTTTTTGTTTTGTGGGTGTCTGTTCGGATTTATTTTAAGAACTATCTGTTTTTGTTTTCTGCATGTGAGTGTTTTGCCTTCGAGAATGTAAGTGCACTGCATGTGTGTCTGGTGCTCACAGAGGCTAGAAGAGGGTGCCAGACTCCTGCAGTTGGGATTACTGATGGTTATGAGCGGTCGTATGGATGCTGAGAAACAAACCTGGTCTTCTGCAAGAGCAGCAGGTGCTCTCAACCAATGGTCTCTCCAGCCCCTGTTTTGGGTTTGGTGTTGTTTGTTTGTTTGTTTGTTTGTTTTTTGAGACGGGGTCTCATGTAGCCCAGAATGACAGTGAATTTCTGATTCTCTTGACACCCCCTCCCAAGGGCTCATGGTTGGCGTGAGCTTCCAGTGTTCTTATGGTTGTATCCAATGATTCTTCCTCCAGCTCTGTCTTTTCTGCTTTTGCTTCTGCATTTGGGAATATTCTGTTGTTTGCTTATTTCCCCTCCTGTCTCTATCCCCCTTTTCCATTATTGGGATTGTAGGGAAGCTCTGGGGGCCTTGAATGGGATTAGAGTACAATTATGACCAAGACTAGGATACACCAGGGCAGTTAAGAGATAGCCTTTTGCTATAAATGGAATTGTAGGTATGACTTCCAGAAAGTTACAAGTTTTATAGCTGGGAATGGTTTTGTGTTTTGAGACTATCTCATGCACCCCAGGCTGGCCTTGAAATCTACTTTTAGCCAAAAATGACCTTAAACTTCTGATCCTCCTGCCTCCACCTCCCACATGCTGAGCTTACAAGTGTGTGCCACCATACCCACTTTCTGTGGTGCTGGAGGGTCTCTCTGGTTTTTCATGCAGGCTTAAACAAGCACTGCGCAGACCCACATCCCCAGCCCACAAGGGTTTTGGTATTCTGAGAGACAGTATTTCTACATAATCCAGGCTGATCTTAAACTCATGATCCTCCTGTCTCCATCTCCAAAGTGCTAAGATTAGAGGTGTGTGTGTGTGTGTGTACAAACATTTGCAGATTTGCCCACATGCACTTGCACCACCACGCCCAACTTCTACCCCCCATCTTTACACCAAGGCCTCTTCAATTATACCTTGGGTGATTTCCTCTTGGGAGTAAGCTCTGTTTTCCACACCATAGCTCTGCTTCATGAGTTGAGGTTTACAGAAAGCATCTTCAACTGGGTAATCGGTGGGGCTCCGTTGTCTAGGGAGCTGTAGAAACTCTGGCAAGATATAAAATGCCAGGAAAACCCAGCCATTGGCCACCAAGGCTGTGCTGAGAATGGTATCATCCCATTCCGGGCCAATGTCGGGAACCAGGAGCAGGGTGATCCAGGCCACCCAGATGGCGATGGAGAGGAACGAGGTGAAACCTATGTGGAAGCCGTGTCTCTTCCAGCCAGAGAAGGATCCACAGGAAACGAAGACGGATGCGAAGAAGGTCAGCACCATCAAGAAGAGCAGGTAAATGAGCAGCATGACGAAGTCCTCGTTGCGCCGAGTGGCAGGCAGCTCAGAAAAGACATCGACGTTGGTCCTGTTCATGGCGAGGACCAAGTATTCAATGGCGATGACGACCTGGACCAGACTGAAGCCCACCGCCAGGCTGAGGATCACAAGCCACGACAGAGGCTTCCTCCCTCGGACCAGCTTGATCAAGTTGAAAGCGTGGGCCAAGAGGCAAGAGAAGCAGATGGCGAAGAGGACACCGAAGAGGAAGAAGCGCGTGGGTCCTGTGGCTCCATCCAGCTTGATGATGAAGGCGAAGGTGAGGCCAAAGACCCCCAGCACTCCCAGGAGGAAGAGGAACTGGGTGGGGAGCATCTTTCTTTTGTTGGAGTCCTGTACTTTGCAGATGACGAAAACGAGTGCAAACATGAAAGCCACTGTAGCCACAGCCCCGACTGCGGCCAGCGTTTCCAGGGCGATGCCCCAGCCTTCGGTCAGGTTACAAAGTCTGTAGTACCTGGAAGCCAGGTCTGAGCGGCAACCGCTGGGGGCAGTCATTCTGGTTGGTCCTGCATTTAAAAGGAAGAAGCAAAATTAGGGACCAAGCAAGCCTCTGAGACAGAGGCCGAAAATGGGATTGTGTTTAGTCAGTCTTACTTTTAAACTTGTTACATTATAACTAGCCAAGGGGAGGGACTCAGGTCTCTCTCCTCTCTGGGAGTCTACAGGTTGCTGGGGCAGGAGAGCCACTGGGAAGTGCTGATGTTTCTATACATAACCCTGATTAAACTCATAGGTCCCACCCCCCAACCTACCCCCCCCACATACACACACACACATGCACACACATCTACACATCTATACCCCCAAAAGCTTCTGTACCTCCTGTGAAAATTCTAAGGCCAATGAAAAGAGGGAATGAATCTCATACTTCCCAGTTAACTCTACTAATCTCATTTGATTTAATTTTGGTTTGGGTTTTTTTGTTTTGTTTGTCTGTTTTGTTTTTATCAGCATACAAATGGCTGTTCTTCAATGATTACAATTTTGTATGCCCTCTCTGGGAAAGATCAGAATAAGACAGACTTGGATAAAGAAGAGGCTGAGAAATGAGATACTAGATTAGAGACCAGAAAACACAGGTTGAAAGAATCTTTATGTCAAAAGAGGAAACCCTCAGAGGAATCCAATCTGAAACTTAACAATAACATCATCAAAAAAACAGTTCTAGACAGGAAAATTCTACAGGGGCTTGAGAAACTGGAACATCGGCCCATAACGATACAATATATTGAATTAAGAGTCTAGATTCTGCTTACTGGTGCTAACTTAAAACAATGCCACACAATAGGTTGTGTTTTATTTTATAGAGTTTGGAGCAATTGGGATATGTGCACATGTTGATACATGTTTGGACTTCTAATGGACTTTTGCCTTGAGTTCTGAGGGATGACTGGACATTTATTAAAGATGATAGATATTAGTGATGCCCTACAGATTGAAACTGAAGATACTCAGACACATATGTCCATTAAACACAACAACATTTTGGATGTTATGGCATGAAGCCATTCATGCCATAACATTCATGTAGGACATAGCTTACAGTCCTACAGCTCAGATATTATAGAAAGACCTAACTGTACTTTGAAGGAAATGCTCAGAACAGAAGGGGGATCTGATGTCTCCCAAAGATGGTTTAAAATGTGCTTTGTTGAATTTAAATTTTCTAAAAGTCAATGAGACAAATAGGACAACTAAGATACACTGGATTTTAGAAAGAACTGCTGAATTAGGTCAGCCTATAAAAGCTCCAAAACAGAAGAAAGGAGATATGTTATGTTGAGTGAGGAGGAGATTTTACATATGTTGGGGAGGAAATTTTTCATTTGTTCCAACAGGAAAAGAAAAGCTATGTCTTACATCCAAATTACTGAAAATAAAATTTGACCAGGGAAGACCCCCTGAAGATCTTGGCTGCAGACAAAACAAAAGGAGGTGTCCTGAGACAGACGCATGGTACCTGAGCACAGGTGACCAGTCACATGCCACACGTAGAGTAAATGGGGCACAATAAGTTATGATCTAGTCATATAAGAGCCTAGCTATCCAGTCAAGGTATTTGTAAATATATTTAAAGTCTGAGTCTTATTTCTGGGAACATGAGCCTAGGAGAAAGAACCAGACCAAACTTCTACAGTTTGGGCTAAAGAGTGAGACCCTGCCACAGATAGATAGACAGACAGACAGACAGACAGATAGATAGATAGATAGATAGATAGATAGATAGATAGATAGATAGGGCAATCTCAGGCTAAAGAGTGAGACCCTGCCATGAATAAATGCACACACACATACACACACACACGCGCGCGCGCGCGTGCGCGCGCGCACGCTAACCCTGTCTCATCTAGGGGTAAAAGGCAAAGGACACGGGTCTGGCTCTCATCCTTCCCTACCCTTAGGTCATCACAAGAATCTCTATTGGAAATGGTTCTTCTGTTTCCCCACGTTCCCTGACCCTCCTTGTTAACTGCCACTCACTTCACCCTCAACGTTCTTCCATCTGTTGTCAAGCAGCTGTTAATCCTAATTAGTGGATTTCTAGGAAGAACTCTGAACCCAACGACGCTAAACCTTGACAGAGATTGGTGACTGGCCTAGAAGACAGTTGCAGCCCTGAACAAAGGGACATAAGACAACGGCCCCTGGCTCCACTGTAGCTGTGCAGGACTGTGTCCTGCTTGCCGCCTCCCAGCTCCCAAGTCCAGTGCTCAATAAGGGCAGCTAGTTGGCGGTGTGTGTTTTAAATATCAAGCATCTGTGTGTTTGTGTGCGTGTGTGCGCGTGTGCGTGTGTGCACGCGCGCGTGTGTGTGTGTGTGTGTGTGTGGTGAACCTCATACATATGCTAGGTATATGCCCTACCCCCAACCCTACAAATAACCTTTTAGAAAACCTTTATGTTTTGTTTGTTTGTTTTGTTTTTAATGATCCAATATGTTTCATTAAGGCTGCTTATAGAAACACGCTGTGGTTATTGAAAAAAAATGCCTACCACCTCTTTGCCCCCAGCCCAACCAACCAGGAACTACATACAAATCCCCAGAGAGGGAGCCTCTGGAACGCCTCCCCTTTCGAAACAGGGTGCCCACAAGCCCTGATTTGGCTTTTTGAGACAAGGTCTCCTGAAACCCAGACTAGCATCAAACTTCGTCCTCCTAACTCTCTCTCCCAAACCCTGGGATCACAGGCCCATACCACCCAAAGCAGCCACAACAGCAAGAAGTCTCAGTGAGTATTTTGCATGTGGGTGACTAATTTTTTGGGGAATCACCAATGTAATTCACCTATTAACCGTCCTCCTCCCTCTCCCCAGATGACTGGGATTGCTCAACAAATCTAAAAGTCTCTTAAGTGCTTTGAATTTAGTCAGAGGAAAACAAAACTCACTAAGAAGCAAGCACACATTGAGAAGCTGCTATGGGACCAGAACGTGGTCCTAAGGAAAGAAGGAACCCAGGAATGTGGTGGAACCCAGGTTCTTCCCTTTGGTCTAGAGTTTGTTTTCTTGTTTGTTTGTTTGTTTGTTTACTCAATTATTTGGAACAAGGAGGCCATGTGTATACACAGACACATGAATGTCAGAGGACAACTAACAGGAGTCAGTTCTCTCCATCCACCATGCAAGTCCCAGAATCGAACTCATGCTGTCAGGTTTAGCTGTAAACACCTTTACCCCCTGAGCCATCTCCCTGACCCAGCTTATTTGTATTATGAGATAGGGTCTTACTGTCGCTCAGGCTGACCTAGACTCCTGGCTATCCTCCTGCCTCAGCTTCCTGAGTGCTTGGATTTCAGGCCTGAGACTTCAGGACAGGAAATTACTTGGAGGCGCCTTAAATCCTTTTGGAATGAGTCAGGGCAAGAGAGGAAGGTGGAAGGGACACACCTACAATTGCAGGGTCGGGGTGGGGACTGCAGTGGGGGAGAGGGGAAGAGGGAGACTGGAAGGGAGGTTCCTGCTGACTCAACCCCAAACCCTCTGTTCACCTTCACATACAGAATGGTTTGAGTACACAGTGTTCCCCATGGGCTCATTCATGTGTTTGCACAGTTGGTCTCCAGCTACGGGCTAGCCTTTGGTGGGGCCTGATTGCAAAAGGGAGCCATTGGCAATGTGACCAACCACTCGAACTCTTGTCACCGGGCCTTTTCCAACGTGAAAGCTGCAGCCCCTCAAACTGTCAACAAAATCCGGTCACAGCAATCAGAAAGGTAACTGCTGCTGAAGCAGGGAGTTGAACCCCCCTCTCCCCCCCGCCCCGCAGCTTCTCTGCTGGTCCACTGGGCAGTTTCATGCAGACAGCTTCCACATCTGTGCCTCTGTGCCCTGGCCCATCTTCTTCCCCACCCCACCTCCTGTCACTGGAAAATGGATCATAAACTTCTTATCAATTCAAAACTGGCCTAGGGATGAGTGAGGTCAGGGCAGAGATGGCCTAGGAGCCTGGGGACAAAGTCAAAGCTCTGCAAAGACTGCTGGCCCTAGGCATGGCCTTGGTGTGTGGCACTGACTGGTGTGCAAGGACAAATGACAGCATCTGGCTTCTGTCCTCCACTTCCAGACTCCTCTTCAGCACGACAGTGGCGGGGCTCACAGGCTTAGACCCGGAAGCTGCCGCTACATGGCCCTGGTTAGCGGATCTCATAAGTGAACTTGCTGAGGAGCTGAGACAGCTCAAAGCTAACTCTGTCTTCCTCCTTCTGAGATGGACAACACTCTGTCATCAGAATTGAGCATAGTGCCTCCCTCTGAAAACTGCCCCCGGGGGTGACATCAAGATCTTGCCCCTGTAAACTTGTGACTTGGTGACATCTCTGTTTTCTCTCTAAACTCAGCTGTAATAACAGTTGTCACAGTAGCATGAGGAATTAATGACATCTACCCGCACACTGGGTGAGCACGATGCTGAGTGTCTATGCTTCACGTACATTCTCCCCTATGTGTTCTTACATATTACCTCACCTAATGCTCTAAAGTATATTTATAGGTTAATTCTTAGGAGATGAAGCTAAGGTCCAGGGGATAAAGTACTTGCCACATAAATATGAAGGGCTGAGTTTCAGTCCCCAGAACCCAGTGAAAAGCACAAAGGACAGTGAGTGCCTGTCACCCCAGGGCTTCTACAGTGAGTGTATCCCAGGGATATGGGAGGCAGGATAATCTCTGGACAATCTAGTCTGACATAGGCAATGATGAACAACAGACCCTGCCTCAAAGAAAGTAGAAGGCAGGATCAACACCCGAGGATGTCATCCGACCTCATCCTGAAGCACATGTGCACCCACTTACATGACCTTACATGTCCAGTGCCACAGAAGAAAGATACATTCATAATGCTATGTTTCAGCTGGGCTTGGAGGCCCGTGCTTAAGAGGGTCACAAGTTTGAGGTCTGCCTGGACTACATAGCAAATTCAAGGTCAGCCTGGGAAACTTAATAAGATCCTATGCAAAAAATCAATTAATTAACTAATTAATTAAAAGCTGGGTAGTGATTCATGCCT